GTCTTGTGTGGCCCAGGCTGATCTCAAACTTTCTCTGCATCTGAGGATGATCTTAAACTTCCCAGTCTCTAGCCCAAGTGCTGGGTTCTTTCATTTGTTTGTTTTTGAAACAGAGTATTGAAATGTAGCCCAGACTGCCCTAGAACCCTTTATAGAGTTCCGGTTGGTCTTGAACCTACCAACCTTCTGCCTCAGCCCCCTGAACGCTGGGGATTATAGGTGTGTGCCACCACTCTCAGTAATATTTTATTAGCTTTTTATTCCCACATTCTGAAATCTAGTATTATCTCCAGGTGGATGTTTTCAAAACCCTTTCTCTGAATTGAATTAGGAATTTCCTTCTGAGAGCACTCACACCCTTTGGCAGTTCCTACCCTGACCTCAGCAGTGTTCTTCCGTGGGCTCCGTCTAAACAAGCCTCGTCCTGTGCGTGCTATGCAGTGACATACACCTGACAGACAGAAAACAATCATCCGCGCTTATTTTTCAGTACCAAGAATAGGAGATGCCCTTTTAGAGTTGTTGACAGCTCGGCACAAACAAGGGTCATCTAGGAAGAACCTCAATTGAGAAACTGCCTCCATCAGATTGTCTGCAGGACCTTTGTTGAGAACGATTGGTGTTGGAGGGCCCAGCTCACTGGGGGTGGTGCCACACAGGGGTAGGTGGTGCCACACAGGGGTAGGTGGTGCCACACAGGGGTAGGTGGTCTTAGTTGCACAAGAAAATAGTCTGAGCACACCGTGAAAGGCCAATAAGCAGCGTCCGTCCAGTCTCTGTTTCAGTTCCCACTTCCAGGTTCCTGGCTTGTGTTCCTGCCTTGACCTACCTCAGTCACAGCCTGTCTTCAGAATGTGTCAGCTAAATAAGCCTTTTCCTTTCCAGATTGCTTTTGGTCAGAATGGTTGATCATAGCAATAGAAAGCAAACTGAGATAGACTTGCCCAAAGCTTTTGAGTGATCGGCCATAGGGTTTGGTCTCTGTGCCATATCTTTTGGCCTCAGTCTTGCGTGCTCTTTTCTACCTGGGTCCCTGTTTTTTCTACTCATCCAGCCTGATGTTGAACATGAAAGAGCTGCCAAGTAGTCAAACAGACACTACTTAGACCTCTTCTACTGGAACCCGGTGTGTCTTTGTGTACTCCTGGGGAGGATGCTGGAGAAGAGCTTCTGCTGGTTTTCCTGTGGTCTCTGTGGTTGGAGAAGGAAGTGGTGCCCTTCCCAGATCAGTTGGGAGCACTGCTCACATTGACTAATGCACTTTTGTCATGGGATTCCTCTAGCAAGTTATAGTTTAGTGTATAGTAAATGGGACCCGAGTGTGCCATCCTCCTCTGTGTGGCCAACAATTTCTGAACTCTGCTTATCGCTGTGACTATAGTCTCCTGAGCAAAGCCTAATTTTGTCATACAAATCTAGTAAATTAATGATTAGGGATATTTTTAGTTTGAAATGCAGAGGTTAAAGATTGGGTCTGGACTCTGAACCTCACCATCTCATGCTGTCTTTACATGAGATATAATCAACATGTGGCCAAATATGTACTTAGTAAACTAGATCTAGGTGGATTGGGAGTCAGAGGCGGCTTGGTACTGTTTGGTGTTTTGAGCTAGGGTCTGGCTCTGTATTACATGCTGGTCTCAAACTCACTCTTATCCTGCCTGGACCTCCTGAGTCCTGGGGCTACAGTGTGCACGATCCTATCTGGCTTCCATATGTGTGTCGTGGTGTTTTTGAAATGGTCTCATGTATTCCACACTGATCTCAAACTCACCCTGTAGCCAAGAATGATGCTGAGCACCTGAGTCTCCTGTCTTCCTCACCCAAGTGCCGTGACTAGCGTTAGTGTGCATTACCAGGCCCCGTTCACGGAGTGCTGAAGATTGAGCCCAAGGCCTTGTACTTGATAGGCAAGCACTCTCCTGAGCCAGACTCTCAGCCGCATTCTGTCTGGTTTTGATGACCCTTAAGCACCTCTTCAGTCTCTCCTCCATGACCATTACTTGATTGCTAGTACCGTCCTAGAATCCAGTCCTAGAATCTCCAGGTGGAATCCTGTATCGTTATTTTGTGTTTGAAGTGATGTATCTCAAATCATATGTGCTGTTCAATATATATGATATGGTCTTCCTTCAGAGCATGAAGACTTGGGTTTTAAGAGGGATGTTGTTTGGAAATAGAGAGGTGGGTGTTTGTTTCTTGTCACTCTAAAAATTATTCAGTTTCCTACTCTGCGGTTTTGGAAGGTGCATAGGCAGCTATGGAGATGGCTCCTCACCCACAGGCAGCTGCTCATTTGAACAGATGAGCTGTGAACAGTGTTTGCTTCTTCCCCCCTTTTAGGCCCTGAGCCCATATTGCTGATGTACTAGACAGTGTCCTGTATCTATCAGTAGTGTGTGTTTCCTTTTTTTCTCCTTCTTTCCTAAAAGAGGGAGCTTAAATTTCATTTTTGTTGGCTTTTCAAATCAGTGACCCTTGTGTCTGTGGATTCTCACAGGGCCCTTTGGGCCTGTGGTTCCTGCCTTGCATGTGGGGAGCTTTTAGTAACCTTGTCTCATGCTTTGCTTGAGGAAAGGCTGTGACAGTGGCTGCCTCTGAACGAAGAGATGAGAGTCTGAGAAGCGCTGGACCGAGCAAGGAACAGCACAGATAATGAGAGGGGTCCTGAGGAAAGGAGGCCAGACAGCACTCTTACGAGCAAGGGAGAAATGGGGCGCAGTGAGCAGGAAGGGGTGTCGGAGGAAAGCAGGGGCAGCAGGTGTGTGGAGGAAAGCAGGGGGCAGCAGGTGTGTGGAGGAAAGCGGGGGCAGCAGGTGTGTGGAGGAAAGCAGGGGGCAGCAGGTGTGTGGAGGAAAGCAGGGGGCAGCAGGTGTGTGGAGGAAAGCAGGGGGCAGCAGGTGTGTGGAGGAAAGCAGGAGGCAGCAGGTGTGTGGAGGAAAGCAGGGGGCAGCAGGTGTGTGGAGGAAAGCGGGGGCAGCAGGTGTGTGGAGGAAAGCAGGGGGCGACAGGTGTGTGGAGGAAAGCGGGGGGGGGGAGGCAGCAGGTGTGTGGAGGAAAGCAGGAGGCAGCAGGTGTGTGGAGGAAAGCGGGGGGGGGGGAGGCAGCAGGTGTGTGGAGGAAAGCAGGGGGCAGCAGGTGTGTGGAGGAAAGCGGGGGGCAGCAGGTGTGTGGAGGAAAGCGGGGGGCAGCAGGTGTATGGAGGAAAGCGGGGGCAGCAGGTGTGTGGAGGAGGCCTTGCAGCAGGTGTTCATAAATTGATGGTAATATTGAAGGTGAGGGAGGTGGCACACACATTGTGTTTGTAGCCTGCCGGAGAGGAGTCTCTGTGAAGGCTACTGTTGACAAATGTCAGAGGAGCCATGCCTGGCCTGGAGAGAAAGGTGTGCGACTGATCTTGTAGAAGTTCCCAGCTTGTGTCATAGTTGCCACGACTCTGAGAAGATTTTGGAATCTTCCTGAAGGCATGGCTGAGAAATTGAAGCATACAGCTGCCCTGAGGCCCAAGGCACCACCACACTTCAAAACAAACAACCCCCCACCCCAAAATAATCAATCATTTGAAGTAGAAATCAGGATGCCTTCTTGCTCCAGAATATCTCAGCCTGTGTCTCCAGGAGACACCTTGTCCTGTGAGACCTCCACCTCATCAGAAAACTAAGAGCCGTTTCATAATACCTTCCATCTACCAACCAGCCTGTGTTTAAGGTTCACTGAAATGTTTTGATTTTCTTTTTCATGGTACAGGTTTAGATATTACATTTGATTCTCCATCTTCTTTTCTCTTTTCATTATTTTTCATTTTTCTTTTATTTACTTTTGTGTCTTTGATATGATTGACCTTGTGAAGAGACCAGATGTGAAAGGTAACACATCTGTTTGTTGGATATCTCTTCCCTTATTGATGTATGTACAGCACCCCCTGCAACCAGGAAGTTGGGTCTGAAGGCTGTAGTTAGGTCTAGGCAGTGACTTCCCAAACCCGCAAAGGCTTGGCTGGAATCCTACTGGTCATAGCTGCAGGCACAGGGCTCTGGAGAGATTGGCCTGTAGGCTTCGGGTCTCTCCCTGTTTGCACACACTGAGTTCTGGGTCTCAGTTCCTCCAGTCTGTGCCTTGCACCTGCCCCTCAGCAGCCCTTACCTGTTGACCTCACTTTTTGAGTTTTGCTGGACTTGGAGCTTTCCTCTTGAGATTCTACATGGTGATCCTGATCTGTTAGCATTTCTACTTTCATCTGGTTGTTCTGGAAAGTTCTCCTCAGCCATGGGAGATTAACGACACAGTCCCTCCCAAAAAGATAGGATAATTAATTCCTTTGAAATACTTGCTTCCAACTTAAAGAAACAGGCTGTTTTCCCTTTTGGTAGAGTTCAGTACTTGATTTCCTCGGCCCAGGCTACAGAATGAGTTCCAGACATGCATGAACAACCTAGGGAGACCTTACCTCAAACTAAGACAGGGCTGGCAGCATAGCCGTGGGTGTGATCCTCAGCCTCCCGCACTACCCCATAGTCATTAGCATCAAAGTTTCTCTTACTAGTCATGGAGGAGAAGCAGTATGTAACCTCCCCTCTGGTGGTGAAACCAGTGCTATTTGACCTGAATAGCTGATTATTCTCTAGGTTCTACCTACCAACTGCTGACAGAGTTTGCTGAGCTCATGTCTTCTCTGACACTGGGCCAGAGTCAGACTTGTTAGGGTCATTTGCCTCCTCCAAGTGAAGGAGCAGCAGTTAGGAGATAAAAGACCAGCCATGCAGGAGCTGTGGTCACTCTGGGGGAAAGCTGAAGGGTGGGGTGCAGCTCAAGCAGAGAGGGGAGAGGCATAGACGAGAGGCAGTCGGCTGCTCTTCGTGTGCAGAGTGCAGGCAACCACTAGAACATTCTTTCCATCACGGGAAGCTCTTAGCAGTTCCCCCCTCACCCACCTTCTGGGTTAGTTTAGAGAAAGAACAGGTAAGCAAGCCTTCAGGTGATGCTGTCTGCTCTTCCCACAGGTGTGAATGACAGAGGTGGTGCCTTCCAGTGCCCTCAGCGAGGTCAGCCTGCGTCTCCTCTGCCACGATGACATAGACACTGTGAAGCACCTGTGTGGCGACTGGTTCCCCATTGAGTGAGTGTTGGACATTGTATCCCCAGTGGCTGGGATACTCTGAGACTGGAAGAGGCAACAACGGGTCTGGCGGGACCATACTGGTCCGTAGTTGCTGTTTAAAGTTAGCAAACTAGGCAGTGAGCCTCGAGCCTCCATATTGGTCCACTGCTCACCTTCCTTAAAAGGCCCTGCTGAGAAATGTTACTTACAAAGATTCCCAGTGCTGCATGCAATCAGGAAATTTAGGACCAACCTCAGTATAAAAAACTGATTAGATTCATCAGGATATGTATATCTAAATGCAGTGTTGATGATATTGTGGCATATGCCTGGAGTACTAGAACTCAGGAAATGGAAGCAGAAAAGGGTCGGGTTCAAGGCCAGCCTGAGCTACATAGTAGGTTTTAAGCCAGAGTGGACTATATGGGAAAGACCCTGTCTTTAAAAAGGGTCATTAATCATCCAGGAACAAATCTGTTAAAGTAATGTATTTACTGACACAATTCCTTCCCTCCCTTCCTCTTTCTTTTACCAAATATTAAGTGAAAGCAGACTCAAGAACAGATGCATTATCATATTCCACTTTCACTTAGAAGCCTGCCTAGATAAAAACCTCGGTATACTGTAGAGGAAGGCAGAGGATCCTGCCCTTCGTGAGAATCATGGCCAGCACTTTAGTAAGACATGTTAGCAGGAGATGACAGTAACACATTTGACCTGAGTGAAGCATGGACTGCCCTAGAGACTATTGAACAGAGTGTTATCTACTCCTAATGGGTTGAAGCTGGAGAACACAGTGAGGCCCATTTACTTAGATTCCGCTTGGACTCTCTGTAGCACTCCCTCTCTCTGGGTATAGAGAGGACCCTTCTGGAATGAGGATGTCTTAGTTTTATCAATTGTTGTCACCAAATCTCTGACAGAAACAACTTAAGGATGACAAAGGTTTATTTTCTACACTGTTTTAGAAGTTTCAGGCCATTGTGACAGGTGGGGGAGGGGGGACAGCTCACATTACAGTGGACAGGAAGTAAAGGAGAGTAGTGGCAGAGAAAGCTACAAGCAAGCTATTGCCCCTAAGGGCATGAAGCCCTCAGTGACCTTCTTTCTCCAAGCCGCTCCACCTACCACGGTTCTGCAGTTGTTCCCAGTGCAGACTTGGAGTCTGTTGGTGCCTTCGCAGACACGCTCAGAAATGTGCTGTCCTCATCTCATGGGCCCTCTCAGTCTAATCAGGGTTCTAGTGCTATTAGATCTACTGTCAGACAAATAGGACAAAAAGTTTCTTCATGGCCACCGCCTACAGAGAAAATCAGATTGACTTTGTAGGAAAGGGGCTCTTCTGGCTTCTGTGATTCATCCTGGAGTGGAAGAATTCTAGGTGCCATGGCTGACCTTAGGGGAGAGAATGAGAAGGAAGAGGCAGGAGGCCTGAGAGGTTCGCTTCTGGACTTTCGTTGTGGGGATCATTTACCGAGACCACAGAGTGTACTGAATTAAATACTTCCAGCGTTTTGAGGTGGAGTGGATTATTAGTACCTTGGGTTCCTGTGTTTTTACTTGCCTTGTTTCTAGATTATTGTATGATACGGAAAAACAGTTTTTTTAGCGAGAAAAACAGACACAGACCTTGAAACCTGAAAGCTAAGCAGGGTCCTGAGTTGTTGGTATTTCATGACTCCTCGACTCATTCATACTTGTTACTCCATCCCAGCAGGAAAATAGGGGGAACCCCCTCCCCATGCATCTCTGTTGAAATATAAATTGCCAGCTTCTTAGGAATGTGGGCTAACAGTGCTTTATGAGATAAAACAAACTATCCTTCCAGTTAGTAATCCTACTACTGAAAGAATACTAGGAAATAAGAGTGTCAGTTAAGTGTAGCAATGAATGAGGCCCTGCTGAGGACTGTCTGGAATTAGATAGATCCACACTGAGTTGTAACCTATACACCCCTTAAGGACCTTACTGTCAGCCTCTCCTGTCCCTTAGCCATGTGTCATGACCACGCCCGTGTTAGAAAGGTGTTGTAAACTATTGCACATACCCATGAACTTTAGAAAGGTATTGTAAACTATTATACATACCCATGAACTTTAGAAAGGTATTGTAAACTATTGTACATACCCATGAACTTTAGAAAGGTATTGTAAACTATTGTACATACCCATGAACTTTGGCTCTTCCTTGAGTCCCCTTTCCTGATCTTCAGTGCTGAAGTCTCACAGAGGATCGTTTGCATGGTCAGTTCTCTCCTTCCACCGTGTGGGTCCTAGGTATTGAACTCAAGTTTCAAGGCTTGACTGCAAGCACCCACACCTGCTGAGCCATTTCACCAGCCCTCACAGAATTTTTTTTATGTATACAGTGTTCTGCATGCCTGTATACCAGAAGAGGGCGCCAGATCTCATTATAGGTACCTGGGAGGCACCATGTAGTTGCTGGGAATTGAACTCATGACCTCTGGAAGAATAGCTAGTGCTCTTAACCTCTGAGCCATCTCTCCAGCCCCATGGAATTCTTCATAGACCACTCAGGTCACTGAGGGCCCTAAGGTCTCAGCTCACACTGAGGCTGCCTTGTGCTGTCCCTCCAGGAACTGTCTGTGGAGACAGTTTGATTGGAGGGTTCCTCTCTTTTACATTAAAAATAAAATTTTTTTTACATCAAAAATTCCCCTTTGGATAGGTGGTTACTTTGAGAAGACAGCTATGAGGCTCCTAGAGACTAAGTGATAGGCAGGGCAGCATAGGGTCTGGTGACTCACTGGAGTGTGCTCTCTCCCTCAGGTACCCAGACTCATGGTATCGTGATATCACATCCAACAAGAAGTTCTTCTCTCTTGCTGCAACCTACAGAGGTGCCATCGTGGGAATGATAGTAGCTGAAATAAAGAATAGGACCAAAATACATAAAGAGGTATGTCTATGCCGCAGTGACTTGGCCTTTGTGGCCACTGGAGAGGGATGCTGCAGTGGAGTCGTTGCCCACTCCGGCCTGTGTCTCAGCAGCTTGTGAGCTGAGGAGTCAGAGCAGCAAACGGCACTCGCCCAGTGGGTTATTTATATGGAGGTGAATACACGGACTTTTTCCTAAAGATTTACGTATTATTTAATTATGTGTATGCTTGTGTGACTATATAGGAGTATTTACTTGTAAAGAACAAAGAAGATCCCCCTAGAGTTAGAATCATAGGTGGTTGTGAGCTGCCCACTATTAAACTCGGGTCCTCTGCAAGGGCAGTACATGTTTTTAACTGCTGAGCTACTTCTCCAGCCCTAGTGGAATAATATGAATAATGAATAGAACCTACTAGTGGGCTTAATAAAGATGGCCATTTTCAAACAGAAACAAGCAGAAATGATAGGTTGGGAATCTGCCCTGTTGCTGTGTGCCATGAAAATGCCTGGGATTTGTGCTGCTGGAATGTCACAGAAGCATCAATGGTACTGTAATTTGTGGAGGGAGATTAGCAAAAATGTTATTTCTCTTTATCCAATTTCATAGACCACTCACAAACTTAGCTCCCCAGAACCCTCAAGAATTTGGATGACTGCTTTCAGGGCAGAGTGTAAGACCACAGCTATAAACCATGTTCTTTGTGGCTGAATTCTGTTAGGAGTCCCCTGGTCATGGCAATCGAACAGTATTGTTTACTTAAGGAAAGGGAATCCCATCAACCAGCAAATGATTAGATTTGGCTCGAGGTTATTACTTCTTGTTTCCTTTTCTCCTTCCTGCCTGCCTCCCATTTGTTGGTTTGTTCATTTGTTCTTTGTTTATTAATTTAGGGACGGATTTCATTGTGTACTAGCTAGCCTGAAACTCAGACCTACCTGCCTCTGCCTCTCAAGTGCTAGAGTCCAAGGTGTGTACCCCACACCCAGCTTGCTTGAGATTATTCCTTTAAAAATTCAGGAAATGAGATTGGAGCTGCAGCTCAGTGGTAGAGTGCTTGCCTCATCCAGTCGTAGTGGAAGAGGAAGAAACATTTCTTCTAGGAACCCAGACCACTAAAGGTTACCCCATTTTATAAGTAATTCTATCTTGGTACATTGTTTTGTCTAGCCCAGCTTCCTCCTGAGCCACTTCCTCACATTGCTCACTGCTAAGATAGGGAGAAAGCAAGGGCCAGTCCCCCTTGGATCTGCTGTCTTGTTTCACTTGCCCACTCCTGTTTCCTCGTGATCCCTCCTTGGGGCTTTTTCTTAGTGATTGTCCACTTCCACCATGCACACTGCCCGAGGCTCTCTTGACTGGCATGCTTACCCTTTCCACACATATTTGGGGGCCCTTCTTTTGGCTAGCTAGGGCTTCTGTTAACTAGAGCAGTGAGTTTATCCTCTCCCCCAGTTTGCTATGTCCAGGTTCACTGTAGTGTGGAGTGCTGGGCAGGGCCAGGGAGCAGGGCCTGGCCCAGCACATGCATAGCACATGGAGCTACTTGGTGAATGGGAAGCAGAAAAGCCAAGTCATCTGGTGTCCTTTCTGGGAAGAGAAGACCATACAAATGGCAGTGTTCCTTTTTATTAAGTGCTTGGAATAACATGAGAATCTATCTCATGGTCAGAGTCATGACTCAGGAAGCGATTGTGTCCTTAGCGTCCTCTATCACAGCACAGAGTGCCACTCGCCCGGCATGGGCAGCAGAGCAGGGTGCGTAGCTGTCTTAACCTGCTCTTCATGGTCACCAGGGACAGCATGTTTCTCTTTACAAACCTTTAAAACAGCACTTGGACCTTGGACTGGTGATATGGTTGAGCAATAAAAACCTGGCAGGCTGAGTCCCCAGCACCCACGTGGAGGGAGAGAACCAGCTCCCCCAGTTGTCCTCTGACCTCCACACGCGATGCTGCACATGCATGCTCACCCGACCCAACTTTTCACTTGCCCACTATCGCACATCATGGCGACTTTGTCACTACTTGTTGACAACCTGTATGTGACCACTCTGGACAGTTAGACTCTTTTGTTCTTTTGTGATAGGATCAGACGTATGACCTTGTGTGTGCCAGACACACACTCTACTGTTGAGCTACATCCCCCTCCCCAGGCTGTCTTGCTGTAATGCTCCTAGTTCTGATGAAAAGTCCCAACCTAGTCCACCATCCCAAACAAAGCTCCTGGGGGTGCCTTCTCACTGTGGCAGCATCCGCCAACAGGGCCTACACCCTCTTGTCTCTGTGGGTCAGCGGGGTGTACTTTGTCTTCTGTGTTCTGCCCCTTCCCACCTTGTAACTGCACATGCCAGGATATGAAGAGTGGACACAGAACCAGGTAGGTTCTGTTTTGAGCTTGTATATGCCGTCATGTTGCCCTGACTTTATCTCTGACTTCCCCTTTAGGATGGAGATATTCTAGCCTCCAGCTTCTCTGTGGATACACAAGTTGCATACATTCTAAGTCTGGGAGTGGTGAAAGAATTCAGAAAGCACGGCATAGGTAAGAGGCAGAAAGTTCATGGTTTGAACCACTGCTGCCCCCCAAGCAGTTATTACCCCGTACCCCTGTCAGTTACTTCTGAGATCTTCAGCTCACAGAGGACCCTCAGTCTCTTCCTTGTACAAACTTGGGGACAGATAATGTCCTCCCAGTGCATCTCCCCACCCCACTGGCCTTCATTGTTTTCCATCCCTCCCAGATCTGTCATGAACAGATCAGCACCAACTCCTAGGACAGCCTCAGGAGGGCACAGACCTCCCTTCCCTCGCCTATGTTGCCAGACATGGTCATGTGTACTGGCGAGATGTTCTGTTCTGAGTAAGAACTATAAACAAACAGAGAAACCGCACTTTCCAGACACTGTGTTACCAGAGTCTCGCCCTACTCCACCACACAGCAGTGAGTAGAAGTCCTTTGTTCTACCCAGACCTGTCTTTCTCACCCTCTGGGTTCTGGTTTATACTTTTTGTTGTCTGAAAGGTTGGTAAGTGTTCTCTGTGGACCCAGAACTCCTCCAGGATACATCTTTGGTCCACAGTGATAAGCAGCTCATGGGAGGGGCTCGACAGTGGGAAGTGACCAGAGGCTGGTTTCAGATCTGGCAACATAACCCTCTAGACTCCTGCAGACGCCATGGCTTCATCTATGTCCTCTTAACTGCCCTGCTGTGGGAAACCTTCCTCTCCTTTCCCCAGGTTCCCTGTTACTAGAAAGTTTAAAGGATCATATTTCAACCACTGCCCAGGACCACTGCAAAGCCATCTACCTGCATGTGCTCACCACCAACAACACAGCAATAAACTTCTATGAAAACAGAGACTTTAAGCAGCATCACTATCTGCCCTACTACTACTCCATTCGAGGGGTCCTCAAAGATGGCTTCACCTATGTCCTCTACATCAATGGCGGCCACCCTCCCTGGACCATCTTATATCCTTTACTGCTGGAAAGGAACAGGAGAAGGCTTTGTTGCCGTTTCCTGGCTAGAGGGCTGGAAGAACCAGAGAGTCACTGAAACTGTGGCCACCTGGATGACAGTCACTGGCTTAGCTCACAGCCTTGTTCCTTGAGTAGCTCAGGGTATGCACAGGTCTAATGCACCTGATTGGCTGCATACGTTAGGAAAACTGGCACTCCCTGGCAACTTCAGCCCAGCAAGAAGATTGGGTTTTAACTCTACTCCACTCAAGAAATATGGAAAGTGTCCTCTTGTGGGGGTCATCAGTAAATGAGCAGATACAAGCCCCACCATATGCAGCCTGTGATGGTGAGAAGAAAGTGAACAATGGCAGAACACATGGGTTCAGACCTTTCTCGTGGAGCTGCATGATCCAAGGTGCATTCACCCACCTCCAATTCTCTCCTCTAATGGTGTCCTTATTAGGTGGAAAGGAAACGAAATGTCCCAGCACCTTGGGGTAGTAATAACCCAGAATACACTACATGTACCTGTGAGTGTTTTGAAGAAGTGATTCATTTTAGAGGAAAGTAAAACAGGAAAGAAGTGACCCCAAGCTCCGTAGGGCCTAGCTCATGTGAAGTCGGGCATGTATGGTCATCCAGGGGTTGGCACTGCTGATACATCTCCTTGTTGGGGTGGGCTCTGTCCCTCTGGAGAACTAGGAACACTTGTCTTGTAGATCCTGCCCTGGTCTTTGTGATGATTGCCCTATATGCTCTACTGTACATTATTTCCCAAATTGATGGTCCACTTAATGAGCCTTTCTGGTATTTTTGAACAATGCTGTCATTGATCCATCTCCAAGCAGGCTGCATGTGGGCAGGCAAGGCAGATGATGGGGCATATCAGTACCTTCCTTGACAGAACCCACAGACTACATCCAGCACCTGGGCTCAACACTAGCCAACCTGAGTCCCTGCTCCATCCCACACAGGATCTACCGCCAGGCCCACAGCCTGCTCTGCAGCTTTCTGCCATGGTCCAGCATCTCCACCAAAGGTGGCATCGAATACAGCCGTACCATGTGATGCCATTGGGGCAGCCTCCCCCAGGCCTCTGTCCTCAGCACTTTGTGGAGCCTATTTTCCTGTCTGTCTGACTTCTGCTGTCTTTTGCAAGGAGCTGGTAGCCACCTGCCGGCCCATCAGCCTGCCCCAGGTGCAGGCCCGGTGCTATGCTGGCTCAGGAGCAGAGTGGATGCCTGGTCTTCAACAGGTAGGCACAGATGGCAGGACCTGGGTAGTCTAGTGCTTACAGAGACAAGAAGTCTCTAGGCAGATACTGTAAGCAGTTCACTGAGGGTCCAGAAGTGGTTTGAAGAACAAGGGGCCAAAGACCTCAAACCACTCGAATTTCTTTTTACTCCCTGGACTTTGTCCATTTGCATGCACATGGGCACATTTGTGGAGCAGAGCTCAGCACGGGTCCTCTTCCTCAGTTACTGTCCGCCTTACTTTTGAGACAGGGTTTCTCGTTGTGGAGCATCGAGCTCAACATGGTCATCTTCCTCAATTATTCTCTACCTTACTTTTGAGATAGGGTTTCTCATGGAACTTGTAGCTCACTGATTTACCTGCACTGGCTAGCTAGTGAGCCTCAGAGATCCTCCTGTCTCTGTCTCTCAGCTGCCTACCCAGACTTTTGTGTGGGGGCTAGAGCTCAAACTCAGGTCCTTACATTTTATACAACTCTTGCTTTGTTTTTATTTTATTTATCTCTTAAGAATTTAAGGGCATTGGATTCTTGGAACTGGGGTTATAGGCAGTTGTGCCATGCAGATCCTGGTCCTTGTACCCTGGTCCTTGGAAAGAACAAATGCTCTTAAGCACTGAGCCATCTCCCCAGGACCGGAACAGATTTTTCTTTCTTTTTTTGTTAAAATGGATTCTCATGATTCAAACATTGGGAAGGTACAGAAAGACCAAGCAGCTCCTACTGGACATTTCGCATTCCCTTACGAGATGCACCCAATGATGTCGACCCATGTCTGCTCCTCAGGATTTTACCCAGACTTCCACTCTTACCACCAGGACTGTCACCAGTGCGTCTGTGTGTGGCATTGTCCAACACCCTGCATGAGCTTCCTCTGCTGACAAATTGTACATGATATTCAGCCTGAATACAACCATTTGGGTTGCCGAGAATTGGTCTCCCAAGCCAACAGAACAGAATTGCAGAAGTGGGAGAGGTTTGGGTACTGCAGAGCCCACTCCATTGATAACACACCCAAGTGTGAGCGTGGCAGTGCTTGTATTTGTGTAGCGTTCCGAGGAGCTTGCTGGCCACTGGTAGACTGTGGGCTGGAGAAAGGCTCATGCTTTGGTATACCTGACTCATCTAAAGCCCATAGGCCAGGTAACGTAGGTGAACATCCTGCAGTGTCTTCATGTGCCCTGCTCTCTTCCCTGCAGGCTCTCCTTCCTGCTTCTGGAAACTTCTCCTTCCTCCAGGAGTCTCTGTCCTGCCTCCATGCACTGGCACCATCCCAATGGCCTGGCAGGTGTTGGCTACATTCACTGGAAAAGGGCTTGCCAGGCCTCTTCTGCCTCCTCCATCTTCCCTTCAAAATGGATTGAACTTCGCTGTGAAGAGAATGTGGACACCTTTGACCCTGAAGACACAGGAAGCTTAGAATAAAGAGGCACAGGAAAGAGAGTACCAGGTCTTTGTATAGGAATCCCTAAAGAAGCTTAAACGGTGGAAGCAGTTGTCCATGAAAGGCTGGAGGCTGGGGAGAATGAGTAGGGCTAGCCCTTCAAGAGAACTTAAAGCTTCAAGACTCAGCCCTCACCATAGACAGTTAGATGGACAGTCCCCTGTTCCTCAGGCCTCCCACTACCCACTTCCTATTGTCCAGAAGGATCATCCTGCCTGGGGAATCCTGGCTTGCTCTCCATATAGCTGACCTACACTAGGAGCCGAGACAAGGACAGGTAGTTAGCTGTTGGCTTCTGGGTTCCTTCCTTGCTCATCCTTCTAGAAGCTGAAGCTTCAAGGTCTGGCCAAGTGCAGAGAAAAGGAGGCTGAGCTCTGCATTGGGCATCTCTGCTACTGTGGACCATGGGACTTGGCCTTGGGCACAGAGGGCAGTCGGTGCCTGTGGACCTTAGGCCTCCGAGGCAGAGGCTCTCCTCAGTACCATGGATTGTACTTGCAGCATCCCTTCCCTTGCGCCCCCAAATGTTTGTTGCCAGAGCCCTGCCCAGTATTGCTGCAGTGTCACTGGGGCCCTTGTAGGGCGTCCTCACAGCCCCTCACTGCCAGACTGATTAGGAGCAGCTCTATTGACAGGCCCCATTACTGAGTGCTTCCCTCTCAGCATCTCCTGGCTCGGGGCTCTCAACCCTAGAGCCAGCCCAAGGCTGCTTGGCCTCAGAAAGGAAGGATCTTCACAAAGCAGGAAGGCCAAGGCAGGAAAAGCATTCCCTTCCTCAACAGAACTGGCCAGCAGGTGGCTGGTGTCCTGACTGATCTTGGTTGTGTACTGAGGCTGAGCCCATGTCCCTTCCCTTTTCAGTCAGTGGTGATCATGTGATTTTCATTTCTGCCCTGTGTGGTCAAGGAAGAACCTTCCAGAAGGTTCTGACTTGGACATTCTTAAATCCAATTCAAAGGCCTCTACCTGTCTTTCCCTCCCTTCTGTTTCCTAATTACTGCAGTGTCCAGCCCAGTGTTGAACAAATCATAGTGTGTAGTGGTCTCATTACAAACAAATAAATCATTTCACTAGTCTCATCCTGTCTCTAATAGCTGGCTCTCCACATTTTGTGCTCTGCCTGTGAAGGCTGGGGAGCTTGCTTGCCACTGTCTTCCTGGTGGCCCAGTCATGCAGGCAGCTGTCCTGCAGAGGAGTGTAAACTTGATGAAGGCTGTTTCTTAACGATCCTTAGTAGCTGTCTGTCAATTCATACCAGCAGTGTGGCTCTTAACTTTGAGCTAGGACCTGGTTCAAGTAGGAAACTGTATAATTAATTCCCTTCTCCAACCTGTCCGTCCCCCATCTCCATCGTAGCTTAGAGAAGGCTCCAAAGGTAATACAGGTCAGTGGAGGCCTTGGCTCTATTCCCATCCAGAATGAGTATGTCTCTGGTGGATGTTGAATGCTGTCTGGAAACAGTTTATGTGGAGGATAGTGCTGGCATTATTGGGAGGCTACAAAACATCCTCCAGGGTACAGAATGGGCCTGCAACAAAAATTTGATCCAGTCCCAAATGTTACTACCCAAGGCCATTAACACCCATGTACCTGAAGTCTAGTCCATCCAGAAGAAGGCCTGTCCCATGGCCATCCTGACAAGTTTCTATGGGGCCATAAATTCATCTAAACCCCTGGTGGGATCAGTGTGGGGTCCAGGCCAACATGCCTGCCTTGGTTGGTCCCCTCCTGGTTCCCTCTTTAAACCAAACCCACATTTCATCCCTTTGTCCCTGGAATGCCATGCCATGCCCTGTGTTCAGGCCCAATGAGACTTTGCCTGCTTTCTAGAGCTACCATGTTCAGCAGCCCCTCACCTACAGAGCCTCCCCAGACAGGCTCATGACTCCATTACCCCAGGAAAAGCTCCCTTGAAGGATGCAGGGCAGGTTTGACTGGATTGACTTGATGACAGACAAGAAGATGCAGGCCTTGGCTTTTTACTGAGGGAAGACCTGAGGACTCCCTGGCTCTCAGGAACCAGATTCTCTGCTCAGCCTGGCCTCTCAGCTACACGTGGCTGACTGGAGTTTGGGCAGGCTGCAAGGGCATGGGCATGCTTCCATTTCTTCCGTCCCTCTCAAGGGACTTCCTCCTCCCTCCCTCATACTTTGCCCAGACTAGCCCAGGTCTGATGCTGGGCAGCTGTGGGGGCCATCTCAGTGGGAGGGCAGCTGCTGGGACTGCACCCTTCCTCAGGAAACCTGGCCTCCGCCTCCTCCTCGGCCATCCTTCCCTTAATGTCCCCAGCCCTGGCACTTTGGATCCTTATGTCCTCTCCAAGGCCCCAGAGCGGGTTCTCTTGCACAAGGGACACATGGTCTCCTCCAAGGCTCTCCAGGACCTCTTGGGCCTGAGTCCCAAGCCCTCAGGGGGACCAGACTGGGAGGGGACACCCTTGGCTGGGTCCATGCTGGAACTGGAAGCTGAGGAAAAAGGAAAGAGAAGTCACTCAGAGGGACCCAATCTGAAACCCTACCTTGGTGTCCCTGGACCTTATAACCTTCAAGCCAATTGAAGAGCTTGGTGTTACGTCCTTGAAAGAACTATTGGGGGGGGGGGATGTCAGTGGGTCATGAACTCTTGTAAAATAAACTGAGGGAGAGTTGCCCAAGGTCCATCAAAATACAGAACAAGGATTAGAACCCAGAACTCTTAGTCCCAGATCTCTGCCTTACACCCCCCATCCCAATGGGTTCCAGCTGTGGTCCAGCTGCCTACTACCACCCTGAGATTTCATAAGACTTAAGAGTACATCCCAGTGCAGAGTCAGTAGTGGGGCACACGGATAGAAAAATTCAAGATTTCAGCCCCCGGAGGAAGACTACTTTAGTGTGTCCTGGCCACCATGTCCTTTCCTAGTTTTTGGCAAGAAGGCTGGGGAATGGAAGAGGCCCATCTGAGTTCCCTTGCATCTTTCCCTCGTGTCTCCAGTCCTTCCTTAACAGAGCTCACCTGTATTTCCCAGGCTGTCCCTGGGCAGTTGGGCTTCCAGAAGGGTTGAGCAATGGCTGTTACCTGGACCCAGGGTCCCCTGTGGCAAAGACAGGGGCCAGGCCGAGCCTTCAGGCCGTGGCAGGCTGCCCCCAGCCATGAGCCGGCCTAGCCAGTGGCTTCCACATTGCCCAGCAGGCTGCATGTGGCCTGGCAGGTAGAGAGCCAAGCTCCGGAGGTGACGCAGTCGGAAGTTCTTGGGCTTGCTTGCCTGGGCACCAGGGCCCTGCTGCTGCTGGGCCCCCAGCCCTCCCTCGTAGATGTTGGGTGGTGTGTCAGGGTGGCTGGGGCGTCCTGGGGCCCAGCTCACTCCATCTGCAGGAGAGAGATCAGGAGGGTGGTGGCCAGTGCAACCAGCATCTGGGTAAAAAGATGCAAGTACCAGCATCTATGGCAGACCCCACCCCGGGCTACCCAGCCTCAGATCCTGTCTATCCCCATTTTTCCTGTTTGCTCCCCTAGGGGCCTAAGAAGCCCAGGACTTTGGCACTGAGATCTCTTTCAGCACTTCAAGCCCTTTTTTTGTGTGTGCCCTCTACCCTAGAAAGAGTATGCTGGCGCCAATATAAGCAAAGAGGGTAAAAGAGGGCATGAGTGGCCCAGTCATACAGCCTAGATTGGGAGTTACTCCCCTCCCAAGCATGCATGTCCCTGGGATCTTCCCAGTAGCTTTGGGCCCAGGTTAGGACAGAATGGCATCTCTGCTTTTGCTTCTCCCTGCAGCCAGGCACCTTCTCTTATTCGAAGCTCGGAGAATGCACAGACCAAGGCTTCCATGGAGGGCCAGTATGGTGGGGGAGGAGTGGCCAGGCCTTGTGTGCAGCAGGGCCTGCTCTCCCCTGCCTAGGGGCTGGGTCTGCAGGTCTCCCATGGCAACTGGCTCTTATGATGTCACAGTAAAGACTAGTCTTCTTGGCCCCCTTAGTTTGGGAGAGAATGGTGTCAGGTCAGGGGCAGGGTGGGAGGAGGGTAGGGGGGTGGGTTAGAAACTTAGGGTAAATCCACTGCTCCTCAATTTCAGAGGAAGACACATTAAAAAAATTAACTTTGGAATGCTGAAAAATCATTCTGTGGGGTGACCTTTGGGGAGCTTCGGCTTCCTCTTCTGTCACTCAGAGAAAGAGGATTTAGGATACAAACCTGGAGAGATCTGAGTCGCACTGAAAAGGTGGTTCCGGGTGACCCTTGTCCAGTTGTTCATCTTCTCACAAGTTGTTAGTGTGTAGATAATGCCATTTTCCCCCTAAGCATGTGAACAAACTGGAACTCTTGCCTTGGTGGTGGAAATATAAAACTACAACTAAATTTGGAATCAACTCAGTAACAAAACCGTAACGTTTCGTTCTCTGTTTTGGTTTATGAACCATTGTTTTTGTATATAGATATAGTGGAGTTTCATTTATTTGCTGTAGATTTCTCATTGTTCCAAAGCCATTTGTCGCAGACTATTCTCTTTGTCCAAGTGCACTGTCGCCTATGTTGGTCCTATTCCACATCTAAGTCCTCAAGCATCTTACTCCTGATCTCCACCACAATGTCCCGGTCAAGGGCACCTTTACATTCTCCGCTTCCCCATCTCGGGGCTTTGCCTTCCTCTTCTTCCACCCTTCTTGGCCCAGCTCATCTCTTCTTTCCCATGTCCTTCTTTATCGCGGTTGCCCCCAACTTGTAGCAGCCACCAGGGAGGATTCCCTGCAGAGCTCCGCACTGGGGCGTGATACATCAGCACTACTACTCCGACCTCAGAATCAACCAGTTTCCAGGACAACCCCTGGATCATGGGTCTGGAAACTGATTTTCGGCCTGTAGTGAAGACTGACAAGCAGTACGTACACGAAATCCTTCCGGGTGCAGTTCTCGAATTCTGCCGAGGGTAGCATAGCTTCATTCCTGTCATTCTGTGGCTACTTTATGAGTCTTTGTGCGGTTTAGCTGTTTTTAACAAATACGAAGGAGACTCGGCCACATAAAGTGATAGTGTTCTCTATAGAAGTGAGGCAATGGGAGCCACAAAAGGCCCGGAGCCAAAACTGCTTGATGAACGGTAAGAAGCGCCTCCTGCTGGTCTGTGTCGTGCGCGTGCGCGCATTGCACCGCTTCGCTTCCTGTCTTGTTTGGCCCTGACCGCACGCTGTCCAAGTGCCCTGTGGGTTGCTATAGAGACCGGCGAGCGCTGGGCCTGCGAACTCCAAAGAGGCGAGCTTCGTGCCCCGGTGGACTTTTGCAGACCAAACCGCCATGTCTTTCCGCGACCTCCGCAGTAAGGCTGCACCGGCTTGCCCGTGGGCTTCCCAGAAACTCGGAGCTCCCCTGATAGACCCCTGTCTGAGCCGTAGGCCCCAGACTAGCCTGGGCCTGACGGAACTCTGCTGCACCCTTGCAAAGTTCTGCCTGTCACTGGGCGCGAGTGGCTAGAACACTTGGAATGTGTTTCGAGCGGCTAAAGAACTGAATGTGTTTAATTTTTACCTCATTTTATCTCAGTTTGTCACAGACACATTCGCAGCCGCATTAGAAAGGTCATGGGAAATGGAGACTTTTTTTCTGTGTTAGAGTTTGTAGAAAGAAACAATAAAGTCAGGGAGGTGACTGAATGGATGGCTATTTATGCTAGTTGTTTTGTTTTGTTTTATCGTCGTTGATTGTTGTTAATTTTTGAGAATTTTTTAAAACAATCTGTCACATACTGTTCTTTTGGGGCATTATGTTGTTTATTCCTAGTCAATGCCTGTGCCCTGAGTCCAGAGATGAGGAAGCAGGCAGCAACAGGTCAAAGTAATTTGGGCAAGAAAAGGCTAGAACGAGCGGCTTAGGCGGTTTGCATCCAGGTTGTCAGATCGCCAAACACTGAGAAGAGAACTTTGCCCGAGAGTGGGGAAGTGGGGTGTCCTATTAGTCCCTGCTCTTCGGAGACCGTTTGTTATGGGTCGGGCTGTTGCAGTTCACCCCTTTTGTTTCTGTATCTAACTGCAAGTAGTCTAACTTCTCATGGTTCGCACAGCTGGAGAGAGTGGCAGGACTGTGTGACCCAAAAGCTTGCCTCCCTCGCGGCCGAGTAGCAGCTATTAGGATCAACCTCGAGTGTCATGTCTTCCGGGGTCTGACGGTGTTCCAGACAGTGTCATGATGGCGGTCCCACGTAGTTTTTGATGAGGCCAGCACTTTGCTAGGGTCGTTGAAAAGCGATGTACTGAAAAGAATATTCCAGAAGAGTGTTTCAGAATGTTTACCTTAAATAAACACTGTATAGCTGTGTAATGGAGACTCTGTCCCCATCCAACAGTGGAGAAATGCTAGCTTCCCCTTAGCAGGAGGAAGTGTTTGGATGAAGCCTGACTGGAGGGGAGACGGCTACTTCTTCACCACCATCTTTCTCTTCCACCATCTGGTGCAGTCCGCCCTGCTTTATCGTACAGGTAGCTTATTTGGAATTGTCAACAGGACGTTTTGAATAGCTGTCTTCAGGAAACATGCCTAGACATCGCACTGCCAGGAAACTGTTCACCAGCTCAGTGTATTGTGGGAACTCAATATGAGATGTTGTTGTGTTCCTTTTGATTTACCGAGACAGGGTTCTCTGTGTAACAAAAACCTTCACTGACTAGAACTTACTTTGTAAACCAGGTTAGCCTCGAACCCACAAAGATCTACCTGCCTCTGGTTGTGTTCTTTTCTTTTCAAGACGGTTTCTCTGTGTAGCCCCAGCTGTCCTGGAGCTCACTCTGTAGACCAGGCTGGCTTTGAATTTACAGAGATCCCCCTGTCCTGAGTGCTGGGATTAAAGTCGTGCACCACCACCCGGCAGCTGTGTTCATTTCTAAATCCCACTTTCTTTTTCTTTTCTTTTGTTTTCTTTCTTTTTTTTTCGTTTTGGTTTTTCGAGACAGGGTTTCTCTGTGGTTTTGGAGCCTGTCCTGGATCTAGCTCTTGTAGACCAAGCTGGCCTCGAACTCACAAAGATCCACCTGCCTCTGCCTCCTGAGTGCTGGGATTAAAGGCGTGTGCCACCACCACCTGGCTTTTGTTTGTTTTCTTCTACTTTCTTTCAAGCAGTGTAGCTTTTTTAGGTGCTTCCAACTTACACTGTTCACTAATATGTTTTTACAGTAAATATAAATACTGAAGACAGTTTAACCATTTTCTTAAAATTTCTGTGAATTGAGGTAACTGATTTTTTTTTTTTTTGTGGTTTTTCGAGACAGGGTTTCTCTGTGGTTTTGGAGCCTGTCCTGGAACTAGCTCTTGTAGACCAGGCTGGTCTCTAATTCACAGAGATCCGTCTGCCTCTGCCTCCCAAGTGCTGGGATTAAAGGCGTGCGCCACCACCGCCCGGCGAGGTAACTGATTTTTGAAATTTATGTCATCAAAATACTATAGGATCACTGAAAAGAACGTATGATTTTGAACAATTTTTTTCTCATGATGTCTTATGAGGCTAGGTAGTTTTTATTTAGTTGTTTGTTTGTTTTTAATTAATTAATTTTATTTCTTTTTACATACCAATCCCAGTTCCCCCTCCCTCTTCTTCTCCCGCTTCCCCTCGCCCCACTCCTCATCTGCTCCTCAGGAGGGTAAGTCCTTCCCTGGGAAGTCAACTAAGTCTGTCCATCAACTCCTTGAGGCAGGACCAAGGTTCTCCTCGTTCCCCTCCCCGGAGCCTAGGCTGAACCAGGTTTCTTTCCATAGAGAATGGGCTCCACAAAGTCAGCTTATACATAGAGTAGCGCCTGACCCCACTGCCTGTGGCCCCATCTACTGTCCAAGTCACACCGTTGTCACCTGTATTCAGGGGTCCTAATTCAGGCCTATACAGGTTCCCCAGCTGTCAGTCCAGAGAAGTGAGCTTCCACTAGCTCAGGCCAGCTCATTCTGTGTATTTCCCCATCATGGTCTTGACCCCTTTGCTCATATTCTCCCTCCTCCCTCTCTTTGTTTGTGCTCCGGGAGCTCCGCCCAGTGGTTAGCTGTGGATCTCTGCATCCGTTTCCATCTGTTTCTTGAAGAGGGTTCTAGCTTCTCTTATGGACTATATAGGCTGGTTATCCTTTGATTTATATCTGGTATCCACTTATGAGTGAGTACAAATTATATTTGTCTTTCTGGGTCTGGGTTACCTCACTCAGGATGTTTTTTCCTAATTCCGTCCATTTGCCTGCAAATTTAAAGATGTCATTGTTTTTTACTGCTGTGTAGTACTCCATTGGGTGAATGTGCCACATTTTCTTTATCCATCCTTTGGTTGAGGGGCATCTAGGTTGTTTACAGGTTTTGGCTGTTATGAATAATGCTGCTGTGGGCATAGTTGAGCAAATGCCCTTGTGGTGTGAGTGTGCCTCCTTTGGGTAAATACCCAAAAGTAGTATTGCTGGATCATGAGGTAGATCGATTCTTAATTTTCTGAGAATTCGCCATACTGATTTCTACAGTGTCTGTATAAGCTTGCACTCCCACCAGCAATGCAGAAGTGTTCCTCTTACTCCACATCCTCTCCAGCATAAGCTGTCAATAGTGTTTTTTATCTTCGCCTTTCTGATCAGTGTAAGATGGTATTTCCGAGTTGTTTTGATTTGCATTTTCCTGACGGCTGAGGATGTTGAACATTTCCTTAAGTGTCTTTCAGCCATTTGAGATTCTTCTGTTGAGAATTCTCTGTTTAGATCTATACCCCATTTTTAAATTGGATTCTTGAGTTCTTTGTGTATTTTGGAGATCAGTCCTCTATCAGATGGGGTTAGTGAAGATCTTTTCCCATTCTGTAGTTTGCCATTTTGTCTTGTTGACTGTATACTTTGCTTTACAGAAGCTTCTAAGTTTCAGGAGGTCCCATTTATTAATTGTTGCTCTCAGTGTCTGTGCCGCTGGGGTTATATTCAGGAAGTGGTCTCAGTGTCTGTGCTGCTGGGGTTATATTCAGGAAGTGGTCTCCTGTGCCCCATGCATTCAAGGTTACTTCCCACTTTCTCTTCAGTGAGGGTCAGTGTGGATGGATTTATGTTGAGGTCTTTGATCCATTTGGATAGTTTTTATTTGAGGTAGTAAAAAGGCAAATAACAAAAAGAAATGAAAGCCTCAACTAATCCCTAGAACCCGTTTCCCTGAAGAAAGTCTACTCCATTGAACTTAGGTGTTTTCCAGGTGATGGCTTAGGTACTGTCAGTTGTGTCTCCCTGCCTGTCTTCTCACAGAGTTGATGGATTGGGCCCCTCAGGCTGCCACTAAGGTGGGGAGAACCAGTAAGAAGGGAAAGCAGAGACAATGAGATTAACTGCTTTCAAAGTGCTGCCATCTGACAAGGACTGATGGAATTGTGTTTTATATTGGACAGATTTCACAGAGATGATGAGAGCCCTGGGGTACCCACGACATATCTCTATGGAGAATTTCCGCTCTCCCAACTTTGGACTTGTCTCTGAAGTCCTCCTGTGGCTTGTGAAAAGGTGAGGGTACACCTTATTCATGTCTTAGCATGAATAGTGCTTTGTTTGTTGGCTAATTGGGAACAGGGAACCGTCATGATACAAAAGGAAGAGTATAGTGCAATCCATGCAGGAGGGACTGAGTTGTAATTTGTGAAAAGTCATCAGAGCTGCCAGGCATGATACTGCAAGTAAATATCTGTGAGTTCGGGGTCAGCCTGGGCTACATATCAAGTTCCAGGCCAGCCAGGGATACATAGTGAGAAATGCTCTCTCAAATTTTAAAAATTGAGAGAAAGAAATCACCAGAGTTTACAGAACATGGAGGGTGGGATTATCCTTATTGGAGTGCTGGTACAGGCTGCTCTTCAGCCCTCACCACAATGGCAGGGACTTTCTACACTAAGGATATACTGCATTAAAAATACTGCAGGTGTGGCTGAAGAACCGGCTCAGACGTTAAGAGCTTGTGCTGGTCTTGCAGGGGACCTGAGTTTGATTCTCAGCATGCACGTTGTTTTGGAGTTTTTTGTTTTTCGAGACAGGGTTTCGCTGTAGCTTTGGAGCCTATCCTGGAACTAGCTCTTGTAGACCAGGCTAGCCTCAAACTCACAGAGATCCTCCT